CACAAAGTTGATCTACAATCTATTTTATATGAAATTAGAAATTTGTACACCCTACCCTTAAACCCCTATTCACCTCGAATGCATACTGTACACGTTAATCTACGATATTTGAGTTATATAATATTGAATTATTTTAAATTTATTTGCTATGTTAAAATATATATGAAAATCAAGTTTAAAATAAATGCATTGAATGCGTTCAAATATGTAAATCTTTCAATAATATAGTTTATTAAGTAACAAGAAAAATGACGGCGTTTTGTGGGCCAGAGCCCTAATTATCAGATATAATACTTTAGAATTAGCTATATATTACTTCTAAGATTACAATTATAATATTGTTTTTATATAAATTTTTGTTGCAAACCCCTAATATTTGTAAACCTGACTAAGAAATTGTAATTGCTCAATCAAAGCATAAAAGAAACTGCATACAAGTGCAAATTCTTGTTTTCTAATCCCAAGTTCTGTTGAATTGGTACTACTTAGATATAGATAGTGTTGACTCGTATAATTATCCATTTTAACCAGATAGTGAAGGCGGCATTCTTTCTAGTTCATATATAATATTAACAACCGTATCTATCGTTCTATTTACTAATTCTGGTTGTTTTTTCCAGCTTCATCCCTTGTCGGGTATTATTTTCGATTTTGACTAAACTAAAAAAATATATATATATATATATATATTTATCAAAAGTCAGGTATTTATTTTAAACCAAGATTTCAGTATCCAAACGTTTGATCCTAATTCAGGTTCAACTTCTGGACATTGAACCTAAATTAGGATCAGCCGAATCGAAAGCAAGACATTTCTAAAATTCAATAGAAAAATTTTTATTTCCTTTAGCTCTAGCCAATTATCCTTTTAAGACAGGATGAAACCTGAGTTGTGAAATAGTGAAATCCGCTATGATCATCATATGAAGGCGAAATCCGCTTTTATATAATAAAAAACATAATAAAAGTAGATTCACCCTAACCTGATCTACAAAGCGAATTTCACTATTTCGCAACTCAGGTTTCACCATGTTCTATTTTTTTTTATCTAAATATGTAAAATAAGTAAATATAGATAATAAATAAACATTAAAGTAAACAATCCTATTTTGGTATTATGATAAATTTGTTAACAAAAATTTTAATAACCATAATACTGAAAATGGCACGTCTTACAAAAAGAAGAAAGCATTTGTTGAGTCTTAATGAAAATCGTGAATCTAAAAAGCGAAAAACAAAAGAAAATATTTATAAGTTTGTTGATTCTTTAAGCCAAGAAGAATTAATAGAAATAAGAAATTATATTGATTCAATTACGTTTACATGACGAAGTGCTATTGAAAAAAGGCTCAATAAATTAATTGATAAAATAAAAAGTTTACCTGATCAACAAATCTTAAGAATCGAGCATTTAGTTAATATGATGGTCTATAACAAAGGCAATATGAAAGGTAAAATATTGTCACTATACATACAAATTAAAGCAAATAGTTTTGTAAATAGCAGTCTGTTTAAGCATTACTCGACCGTTGATGCTTTTCAAAATAAAATAAAAAAAATAGAAATTGAAAATCAAAAATTAGCAAAAGCATTAGAAAACGCAAATAACAAGCTTAGATCCTTCCGAATGAAACTTGTAAAAGCTGAAGAGGTGAAGCGAAAAAGCATTTCAAAAATTAAATCTATTGCTCAAAAGTCAAAAAAAATTACACAAAGTCAGTTTCAAATGGCTGCAAAAAAAATGATAAAACAAAATAAAAACGAATATACAGCTAAATTCGTAAAGCTCGCCACCAACATAAGCAACATCGGGACCATTTCATTTTCGGCAACTGCAGAATGTACTAAAGCAATGATGACCTTCTTTATTGGAGAATCGCCAGATCAATGGTTATCAACAGGAACCCTTTCTCGCTAGAATAAGGAAGTTTCTACAATATCCCTTTATCAAAATAAGCTACAAAAATCACATTTACCTTCTTATTCATACGGTGTGATGGCTGATGAAAGTATAAGAAGAGATAAAAAAATATTTTTAGTTTGTTTTTTACATTGGAGTGAACAAGATAATCGGCCACTGGCTACTCTTGCAAGAATGATAGATTTAAATAGATGTAGTGGAACTATTGTAGCCAAAACAGTAAAAGAAACGTGTAAGAAAAATAATTTAGATCCAAGACTATGCACATTTTGGCTTACCGACAATACTGCATATATGTCAGGAAGTAAATCGGGTGCCGTGGTGGAATTTAATTTACAAGCAAATGCAGCTTCGTTTAGAATTCCATGTGGTCTACATGCACTACAAATAGCATTAGTTGCCTTCGAAAATGCTGCATTTGGTAAGTTGAACACAGTGTCAGGATTATCGCTCTGAAAACATCCTCATAATCTCCTTCAGCTTGTCCACTATTTGCATGATGGTTATGGTGAAAGCAATAAAGACTGTCTATTAAACATAAAATCTGATACAATTCAAAGGCTATACTTTACACTTCTGCAGTATACTCTACGAAAATATCAAAAGCCTATTTTGAGTCAGTGGCAATATCAATTAATAACTGCAAACCAATATCTAGAAAATTATAATGCTCATTGTCTTTTCGGGATTTGGTTTGTAAAACAACTTGAACAATTCAAAAATATACCTGATGGATACATTAAACAATAAAAAGTCTTTATTGAATGGACAAGTAATGTAAAGCTTAATCTTCAGGTAAAATGCATGGTGAAATTTGGACAATTTTTCTATCAGAAATTCTTTGAATTTCTGACCGGATTCGATCATGTATCCCGAATACCTGAAAATAATAAGTTCAAGTGCCTTCCCCCTGGATACCGTGCTCATGAGCTTCCTGATCAAGTTTTATTCTGGCTTAGTGAATTGTAATGCACGATTATTAATCCTTATATAATTTTTGAAAAAGAACTTACTGAAGCGCAATCAACATTAAGTAATCAAGAATTCACGGCTTTATTTCAGAAAATAAAACTTGGTTTGGAAAAAGCTTATGAAGGATTTCTAAAATGGATGAGTTGCTGAACTCATTTACCCTTAACAATATGTCTGTTGGGCGGGAGCAATGGCCCTGACTTTGCACGAAGTGTTTGTCGTGTTATCTTAAACTGATCATTGAAGTTGAGATAACCAATAAAGAATTTCTATATACTGAACTATTGAAAGGAGATATATTAAAGAGAAATATTCAATCGTTCGGCTTATTTAATGCATTAAGGGATCCAAAATTTTTAGAACAGTTCCTTATCTTCTCAGTATCTCAGGCGCACGAACTCTCAAAATTTCCACTTATATATGACTTTGTTAAACATAGAATTTGATCAGTTATGATTCATCAACAGCAATTAGAAGGAATGTTTAACAAATACGATATTAAAACATACACTAATATGACTGACGAGCTACAAGAAGCTAGACTTCTACTTTCTAGTCCAAATCGGCCAGAAGTAAGGCTTGATCGTAATAGTTTAATAGCTGTTCGCAAGGAGAGACAGGGAACGTAACTAATAAGGCTGAAAAAAATGTTGGTGAAATAGCTGCTAAGTCTATATTGGAAGAGTTGCTAAAAAAAAAATAAGTAAAATAAAAGATGTACGTACGTATATATATACGTACGACTGTTAAAAAAAAATTCATACCCATTAGTATGTCCAAATATTTCTGATCTACTGATCTACCCAGTAAAAAATCCTAATTACCAAATTTTACTATATGTATTGTACTATGATGGTAGATCATTTAATGTGCAACACCCCAACATAACATCAATGGCATTAAAAGCAATGCCCACAAACTAGAATTTGCTCTTGAATGGGCATCAGATAACAAAAATAGATATACTGGGTATCGCAGAAACAAACATTTTAAGACTGGAAGGAGAATGTTTAT